TATTTTACAAATGTATGTAAATATATATTGGTTCGATACATAAATTTCGCGATATGATTAAACAAGGAGTTTATAAATAGTTCAAGAATACGTAATAGAAAGATTATTTACTACAAGTTTACAAACAAAACTCATACGTACAAATGGATAATTGTGCTCTCTCACGTGGTAAGCCGTGTGAACTCGTACCGTAGACAGACCGTTTTATAGATGTACACAAACAGATTATAGATAGAGATGTAAGAGCACGATTGAGAGAGAGATCGTTCACGGCAGACTTGTTTTGATGTACGTTGTGGAACGTAAATAGACTCTCGTGGCGATAATTGACGACGATCAACGTGATTACTGCAACGCGAATCTTTTTTTCTCTCCCTTTGTTCTTTTTTATTTATTCTTTTTTATTTATTCTTTTTTATTTATTCTTTTTTTTTTTTTATTCTACTCTCTATCCGTCGTTCTTCATCTCTTCCGCCCTTTATTTTTCCGTATCTTGATTCGATCGCATTGCCACACATTTAACCTTGTTATATTATTCGTTTCGTTCTAAAAAAAAAATTTCATTCATTTAGAAACATTCCGGGGGATTGAATTTGTATTTCAACTATTTACCCATTTCCGTACGTTTCAAATGACCAACTTACATACATTAAATCTGTTCGAATTGATTGTAACATTAATTAAAGTTATTACGAGATATTATTTATAATGCACCACTAGAGGAGCGCATTCTCAGACGCTTTTTTTTTCACTTGTCTAATAAGATTATTCAACTATTGAATTGAGTCATCGTTTGAATCTCGTTTGAGATTCTTCGTCGAATTCATTCGAGCGAATCGTATGAAAAGAAAAAAGAAAAAAAAAAAAATAAATAAAAAAAAAGAAAGAAAAGAAACACAACGTTTCGAGTATGTATTTCTTTTTTAGAAAGAACATGACGAAGAGGTCGAAAACAAGAAAAAAAACAAAGATACAAAAAATGCACTTTCGTGGAAGCACCAATGAAGCGATATTTTCAAGGATAGAACGTTCGAACGTTCAGATAATAAAAAAAAAAAAAAGAAAAACAAAAAACAAAGAAATTAACGGACGAATCATGACTCAAAGTAAAAAATTACGTTCGATTTCTTATCGTCGAGTCATTGTTTAATTCCGTCCGAATTTCAATGATTCTGTAATCACACAAGGTTAAATTTTATTTATTATATAAATATTATTTATATGTTAACAAAAATTTGTTAATCCGATTTAAAGTCGACGATAATATCCTTTACATATCTATACCAACAAGTTCTATATGATGCGTAGAAGAAAATAAGTATTATCGCATATAAATGTACTAGATCTACAAGAGACATTGCATGCAAATAAGTAGTATTATTGTCTGGTCGCACGCGTCGAACGTTAAAAAGAAAATGTAAAATAAATGCACGAAGGAGCACGAGTTCTTTCCATGAAATCATGCAATTCGAGGGAAAAAAATATTGCACATATAAGCGTCGACGACATAGAACTGATTCTCAATCTTTCTCTCTCTCTCTCTCTCTCTCTCTCTCTCTTTTCCTTTTTTATCTAAGAAAAAATGTATTTAAATATAGAGTCAAAGTAACGAAAGAAACAGTTCCTCCGATATAAATCCAACGTAAAAGATAAATGTTTTCGTCTGAGATAATGGATATAAGCGATTTCAAACGAGAAAGAACAAATTGAAATGAACCAATAAAAATTTATAAATCATAATTGGTATCGAATTGTTGTATTCTCATAGATGATCGTCGTTTCAGGAACGGCTATGAGATTGGTGAACTTGCGAGGATTGATTCGTGAATATCGTTCTCAAAAAAGTTACAAGACGAGGTGAGTTGTTTTAAATCGAAATGATCGATAATTGCGATTGATTTTAATTCGAAACTCGTTCGAACGTGTTTTTTTTCCTTTCCTTTTTTAATCTTTTTCAGAGCGTCGTTCAAAAGTATTAAATAAGTAGAAAAAGAAGAGGAAGAGGAGAAGGAGAAGGAAGGGAAGGAAGGGAGAGTAGGAGGAGGAGGAGGAGGAGAAGGAGGAGGAGCTAGAAACGAGTTGTCCTTCGAAAGATATGACGAACGCGAATACGATACCTAGCGTAAGGATCGACAAAACAACATCGTCGAATCGTTCCTCAGTTTCCGATCGTTCTGTCGTATTACTTCCGTACTACGAAGATCAAGGAAGTGGTAGCGGTCGTGAGATGTTGACCACCAACGAACAGACCGAAGACTATAGAAGGCTATTCATGAGACAAGACGATAAACGAGTCAGCGAATTTCAGGAAGTAGGCGATTTACACGAAATGAATCTGACCCAGAAGAAATTTGACAAAGTCATCGGTAGAATCGATTTACGATCTTTTCGTGAAATTGATTCGAGTTACGAGAAGATAGCGGATTTACAAGAGTTCGTTCAAGAGGAGAGATCAATGGATCCTGCGTTTGACGTTTTGTTAGAAAGACGAAATTCATTCAACGACGAAAATTGCGATCAGAATTCTTTGGACGCTCCGGATCTCGTAGAACGTAATTCGATCAAGATTAAATTCACTCGTAATTGTCCATATTCGAAAAATCCTACCAATTGGACCGCGAGGAATCAATCGGCAAATATGAGTATCACGCGTAAGCAACAGAACGCGGAAAAATCGTTCGCGGAATCCAAGGGGGAACAAACGAATAATGGAATATGGCGCATATTGGAGAATGATTGGCCGAGTAAAACTAATGACGATCAGGCGAATATTTTTGAGGGGAATAACTCGATGAATAAGGTTAGTAATTATTTGCTATTATATGATTCAAACAGAATTAGCAAGTAAAATTTATACAGTGGAAATATTTTTATCGATTATAGACTACAACCCCCATTCCATCGATCGTCGTGAACGATCATGGTGAGAATTCGGTATTGACGATTCTCGGTCAAGGTAATTCGATTGTTTCTCAAGCGACGAGAACATGGCCGGACTCCCCTTTAAGTTGCTACAACGTAGCGGTTTCTCGATCAAACAGTAGATGCTCGAGTCGCGCCCAATCACCAGGCTCCGGAATGCAATTGGAATCTCAGTTAATGCCATATAATGTTTCCGGTAGTCCCCTTGGCTCGCCACAGGTATTAATTGATACGCTCTTACTCACTCTTACTAACCAATATGATTCATTATTTTGCGAGTAATGTTCTTATCTTTCGCATCGGACATCTCTACTCATATTTATGTAGTATACTTATTTACATATTTTTTATTTAGATCGCCCCAACGTATACGCTAATGCAAGGCCAATCATCACCTTCGTCCTCGAGTCAATCTTACGGTGATACCCCTAGTCCATTGAATTATCAAACGCCGCTGAGTCAACAAGTAGAAGAGCGACTTCACGAAGATCTCGCATGTTTTTCCATTTGGGGTACTTTTCCCGATGATCAAGGAAATATTACTGGGAACGAAACCATCAATACCTTCGATAGCAATGAATTGCAATTGTTAGACGAGGTCCTTAGAAACCAAGGGAACGAATGCAAAGGAAACGAAGAAGCTCAAGTCGTACCAAGATCTAACAATTTCCCTAGCAGCTACGAAGATATAAGACCTTCTAGTGTAAAAAGTTTCGAAAATAATCTTCAACAAATTTCTAACGATACCGTGCCTCTTTCATCTCGTAAGAACGACATCCAAACCTTCCCGTCCACTTCTTCCTCCAATTATGGAAACCAACACCCTAGGATCCCTGATTATTCCACTAGTCCAAACAATTTCTCTTATACGTATGTTGGCGCGCAAAATCAAAGCAGCGATTTTTACGGTCTAAGTCAAACCGATTGTTCGAACTTTTACGATTACAATGACGTATGGAATGCCGGTAATGAAATGAGATATCAGAGTTCAAACGCGTTAGAACCAAGCACAAATTTAACATATACCAATGGTAAAAATCCTTCGAACGAAACAAATACGTGTTCGTTGCCTACGTCTCTTCAATCATTTTCAACCCTCTCATCGACTTCGAACGATATCGATGAGAACAAAAGGCGATGTTTCAGTACCTCGGAACTATCTTACGATGTCACGTTCAACGATTTTCAAATACCAAAGATGGTATCTTCATTCAAATCTAATCGGCCGCCGAGGTAAGTCATTTCATTCAAATAACATTTGTCGCATTTTATATCCTAGAATTTGTATTGTTAGATCGAACGAAAGGTATATTGTCCCATGGCCATCCTTAAATTTACCAAGTGTTGGTGCAAGCGAGAGACTGAAGGAAGGGCTTAACCCTAAAGATGTGGAAAAAGCTATGATCCATTTGTTGAAGATACCAGAGGAAGAACTCGCTAAAGCAGACGAGGATGGCGATACGTTAGTAAAAATTACGAGATAAAATTTTTCTTTGACGAACCATAAACGATAATTATATCACTTTATTTTTTGCCTTTTCTTAATAATTTCTTATATACATAGAGAGCTGATGCGTTTGGTGGGTAATCCGGATGAGTTGGCGAAAAAGAAGGTCTATCTCGTACCATTAGTAGAAAGGTTAAGCAAGGTGAAGGATGCCTTATCGACGAAAAACAATCGTGGCGAGGACGCTCTCTACTTAGCTGCTATGAGTTGTCCAGAAATGCCCTATATAGCAGGTTATCTCGCGGCAACGATGCTTCAAAAAGGAATCGACATAAATCAAAAACTCTATCATACACGAGTAAGTAAAACGTTGTTGTCGTAGTCGCGGGGAAATTCCAAGATTAAAAATAGTAACGCGTTTCGTTAGCAAATTGAAATTCTTGGAAACCGCGACGATATTATCTCGGACGAATAGCTTTTATCGCGAATGTTTGTTTAAAAATACTAATGCTGACCATGGCTTTGATAAATATATTTTTTAAACTATATATTTTAAACTAACTTTCTCTATTATCACTTTTCGTTTCAACTCGTAATTGATCTTTCACTTTGGTCTCCTTTAACATCTATATTTTTTTTTTTTTATCCATTTTTACAGGGTGATACCTTGATACACTCGGTGTCAGCGAGAGGAGACTCACATGGCGAAGTTTTGGCCGAGTTACTGGCCCTAAAGACTAGTCAAGGGAACGCTGTCTTTGATCTCTCCAAATGCAACTACGATGGTTAGCATTATCATTAGCTATTCCTATCTATAAATCATAATCCTATTCAATCATAAAAAAGTTGTCGTTATTCTAAAGATTTTTATCTACTCGAATGAACGATTGTATATATATGTATATATATATATATATATATATATATATATATATATATATACACGATCGATTTGAAAGTCATCAATATGGATCGTAGACATATTTACCGAGAATCAATCAATTAGAGGGACTCATTCGTTTTATTTTTGTTTTTGGTTTTTTTTTTTTAAAGGAAGAACCGCTTTACACACGGCGGTAGAGTCCCACGATCCAACGGGAAGAGGTCCCAAGGCCGTAGCCACGGTTCGTTTGCTTCTAGACAATGGAGCGGATCTAAATATAAAGGACACCAAACGCGGCGACACAGTCTTGCACATGGCTGCCGCGCTCAGTTGTGATCCGGCTCTCGTCAAGGTATACATATGTGTATATATATGTATATAGTATACACATATACAAATAATATAGTTCCATATTTAGTAAGGTAGAGGATACACGAAATAAGAGTAATAAGAAGTAATAAGAAAAGTATAAAGATTCTCTATTTTCTCTTCTTAATTTAATTATTTTATATCTTATTTTATATTTTCAAAACAATGTAATTTAAAAGCAATCAATTTTCAACTTTATTTTCCTCTTCTTAATATATTTCAACAACTATATGTAAATTAATTTATATGCATAGTATTCATTGACTTTGTAACATTGTGTAGGACGCAATTCAATGTAATATAAAACATATCTCTATCACTTTCGTATCTTCCTCTTTTACATTGGTTGTTGATAATTATGCATACATGCACACACGTAATATGATAATATTATAATTGATCCTCGTCCTCTTGAGATCATTTAAACACTTAGCTATCATCCTTACGCTTGTACCATTTATTCTATTACGTTAGCGCGTATAAAAATAGAGTCTTATTTATACTACTACCACTACTATTACAGACTAAGAGAAGAGAGAGAGAGAGAGAGACAATAACGTTGTTATTTCAACAGGTGTTGTTAAGTAAAGCTAGTTCCAGCACGGTGAACGCGACAAATTACGAATACAACACTCCGTTGCATATGGCTGCCGCTGCTTCGTATTCGGTCCCTTTGGAAAGGCAAAAGGAAGTGTGCTGGCTCTTGACTCAGGCCGGAGGGCAGAGTAACATTCACAATAAGCAAGGGAAGACACCGCTCGCTTTGGTATCGGCCGGAAGGAAGGATCTCATCAGGCGGATCTTTTATAAGAAATTTTGACTCGACACGAGGCACGGAGACTGACATAACTTCGCTGTTTCCTACGATATGAAAATAATATTAAAAGAAAGAAAAGGAAACGAATTAAATTTAAAAAGAAAAAAGAAAGACAAAAAGGAAAGACTGAAGCGACTAAAGTCGAGATATTTCTGATACTCGATGTAGAGGCGCTTTTTTCGTTTAATTTTATTCTAATTTTTTTTTTTTTTAAGTAACCGATTACTGTTTACGGGTATACTACTTACTTACATACATATATATCGAGAAAAGATCGTTGTTTCTTCTTTTTTGTTTCGTTGTCTGATTTTTATTTAATACCTTCATGTTTAAGTCAATTGTATTATTTTCAACGATTCTTATTCGCACGATAATATTAATAATATTACTGCGAAGAAAACGTTTCGTACAATCTATTTCTCGATCTTGCCAATTTCTTAGATCTTCTTAGAGTATACGAAAACAAACGAAGAGAATTCGTTAGATATAAATTGTACAATAATATTTGTTATTATTTACGTTAGTACGTCTCTTTTGTACTTACTTTTATGTATTCATAGGTATCATTGTGTCGTACTCGCCGATAAATCATTAATCTCGATACAACGCTGTGATAATTATTGTACCGATTGTTCCATCGTCGTTTTAATATTTCTAATTTTTTCTTCTTATACTTCTTCTTTTTTCCATTTCACATAATATATATAGTCATAAATAAGTGCTTGGAAAAAGCTCTAACAATCTTCGTGTCGTTCATTACAGTATTTTCATTGTAAGAATCGTTAACAATCTCAGTGTCGATTAATCGTGCCAAATAATTAATAAGTGATAATTAAAAAAAATAAAAAAGAAAAAAAAAAAAGAAATAAAAAAAAAACGAAAAAGAAAGGAAGACATCTTAATATATCAAATAACAATCTCTGTGATCTCAAGTTTACGTACAGTAGTACATATCTCAAATTCGGAGCGTATTTTTTTTATATGAATCTAATTTTATTAAGTAGCAAAAAAAAAAAAAAAAGGAGAAATAATAAAAAACAAACGAAATGATAAATATCAGACAGGGTTATTCCATTCGATTCGAGCTAATAACTCGAGCGTTCCGTACTATTAACAGAAAATATAAGTAACATATGAAATTTGTATAAAATTATATTAATAACATAAAATAATTATATTTATTTCACCGAAACACAAAACACATTTAGGTATCTCTTTCTATCCCTCGCCTTTCTTTTTCTCCTCGCTCATATATAAAGAAAAAGAGATAGAGGAGGGTTGGGGGTGGGGGTGGGGGAGGGTTGGGAAGAGAGAAAAAGAAAGAGAAGAAGAATGAGATATGGTAGCAAAAGAAAACAGAAAAAAAGTCCCGAACGATGATGATGCTCGCAAAATAAGGAGACCGAGATACGTTAACGCGACATTTATACATATGTAAATAGCGAGCATATCTCCATGCATACAAATTACGGCTCTGGTATTCCCCTTCGGTAGTCAACCGCAAAGGATGTGGCAGTGTCTTCCCTCCTCTACCCTTCTTCCTCTTTCGATTCGTATCTCTAAACGAGATAGAAAGCGAGTTTTAAATGGGTTATTACGAAGCGTACGAGTCTGCTGTATTTAAATGATTAATTTTTCTCTTTTACGGAATCGTAAAACAACAACGAATGTTGTAACATATTGTAAGTTAGATCTATGAATACGTGCATGTAAACGCGCACATATGTATTTATTATTATTAAATATATGTACATTAAATAGATTTATATATTCGTCGGCAAGGCCGATAGTTAAAAAAAAAAAAAATATTTATATATATATATGTATATATATACATATATATGTATTTACTATATACAGACGCGTGTGTCGCATTTCTTAATTGTTATCTCTCTTGTTTTTCGTCTTCTCTCTTTCTTATCTTTTTCTTCTTCGAATCGAAATGTCTTTCAGTCAATGTTGTACGTTAGTAGAATTTTAATAAGCGAAAGATTTATTGATATCGTCTCAAGCCTAATCTAAATTTCAATTTCTCGCGCAATTTGCGCGTATTACTGGCTTACATTACTCCAGGAATTCGGAATAAATTAATTTACGCTAATATCGAATCTAGAGGAACGTCATGATTATGCGGCTGCAGGTGTAGATAATATATATCTACATCTGCATGTACATAATGTGCATAAACACGTCAAGAAATAAGTACGATCGAGTCGATTCATCTAATATAAAATCGACTTTATGACGATATCGTCTGCAACACCCTATATATATATATATATATATATATATATATATATATATATATATATATATAACTCTAGCGAAACGGAAAAGATATAAGGAAACTTTTCATCGTGGTTTGATGATTTCGAGGAAGAATGAAAAGTCTGCGTTTCCTCAAAAATCCTTCTTTTTCTTTCTTTCTTTCTTTCTTTTTTTTTCTTTTTATAGACAATAAGAAAAATAGAATTAATAGGAAGAAATTAGAAAAAAAAAATTCTTCAAACTAAATGTTTCAAAATTTCAAAAACAATAAAAGCCAATATATCTCGACCGTACTTTCTTCCGATACGATATTTTTAATTATCTTCGCCAAATGAAACGGATATAATAAATATTTTCTATTTTTTAATATCTGCACGATAAGTAACTATCGTTATAGACGCAAGAAGAAAAGAGTTGTATTCTCTACTTGTAGAGATCTTTCTTATATTTTTATGACATCCGAAAAGAATAGGAAAAATAATTGGAACATCCAACATAGAATTACAACAAAAGTTATCGTCGAATAATGAAATGTAGTTCCACGCATGGGCTACGCCAGCAGGATATTCTGACCGTAAAAGTCTCCTCCTCTCACATTGACGAACTTGAAACGCAATGCAAAGTTTCGAGTCCAGTTTGTCGACGTTACAGTCGTTGAGTTATATCGAGTATAATCGTTCACGATTTTGATGGTAACGTTTATGCGTTCAAATATATTTCAACGGTAAGCTCGATAACGAGGACGTCACTCATCGTAAAAAGCGGTACGAAAGAACTGTCCATCTTCATCGAGAGAGAAAGAGAGAAAGAAAAAGCAGAGAGAAGTGTAAACGAAAAGGACATGGAGACACGGATGAATAAAATAGTTTGACTTTCGTAGTGCTCGATCTCAATCATGTTTGGAGAATCGGACGGTTCGTAAAGGAAAAGATTTGTTTGATCTCGACAGAGATTTTCAACGATATCTCGAAGAATAATTAAACGTAATTCGGTGATAAAAGTGAATTAAAGGTATCTCTATCTGGTAAAGAGAAGATTACTATCTCGGATAATCTCGGAAGAAAATACGATCTTCAATTTTGGACCCTTCGTAAGAAATCGTAACGAATGTGATCTCTAATCAAAGTGAAGATAAAAGAAAAATCGATATTCTTATTTTTTTTCCACCGGAAACGAGTGAGTCCTGGAAAGAGTAAATCTTGGTAAAATCTTTGGAAATTATTATATTGATGTAATAATTATATATACGAACCATTAAAAGGATAAAATCACCAAGGAAATATGTCGGGAGTTAAAGATATATTAATAACGGCATTTACATTGCTATTATCATTTAGCTTGGTGGCTTCCATTGGCGAAGAGTGTAAGATCGATAATAAACGCGTTACATGCCAGTGCGATGGGACTCAGGTATACACATATATATATATATATATATATAGACACACAAACACACACACGCGCGTTTCGAAATTGTTCTCACCTATTATCTCGCACTCGCTCGTTCTAATCCATTTATGTTTTGTTTTAGAAGTTGTATCTACCAGACGAATACAATTATAAGAACGTGACGAGTCTGAGTTTATCGTCGTGCTTGACGGCAAATCTACTCTTCTCCAGTTTCACCGAGGAAAATCAACTCGAAGAACTCGTTGTAAAGAACATTAACGAACTTTTTACTTTGGAGTTGTTTCTTAATTCGGTCGAATTGAAACGATTCGAATTGTCGAATATAAAGAGAATACCTTTTGTCATGCACGACACATTTTTGAATATAAAAAACATCGAACACTTTGAGATACGAAATGTTCACATCGATTATTTCGAAGAACAGTTTACGGCGATTAAAACGAACCACTTTGTTATGGCTAATGTTACGATATCTCGTATGGAAGGATTCAATATCTCGGAAAAGGGTGAAACATTGCAAATAATCAATTGCGAATTTCGAAACATCTCGACGTTGTTAAACTTTGGACACTTTTCCAAAGTGGAGATCGTTAATTCGAAATTTGCGTTGCAAAAATCGGGAAATCTTTCGATTGGAAGCGAACTAGCGATAATTCGAGACAATATTTTCTTTAACGTAAGCATGAATGTCTTCGCTGCAAAGAATATAAAGATAAATAGCACGTGTGCAGATGGTAAAAGTTCTCTCAGACTGTCGTCGAATAAAATCGAGAGTTACGGTAACAGATTGCCCACAGCTATCATTTACACGAGAGGTCAACCGTCAAACCAATCGCCAATCGTTTTGGAAAGCAACAATACCATTTGCAAAGCAGGCAATTGCAAATGTCCAAAAAGCAATGGTGAAAATGCAAATAGACCGACCATAATCATATGTTTCTTTGAGATACTTTTATTCTTCACGTATTCGACAGTTCGTCCGTAATTAATTCGATCTAAACGACGTCCGTGTATTCACCGAAGAACTGACATAATCCAAAATCTACACAACAATTTAGTTTATTCGAAATATACAAAATTCTAAAAATATCTAATAAATATCAGTATTACTACGTAAAAATATTTTACTACAAAAACCATCGTTATTAGGAACTATTTTATTATGTATGTGATTAGTGTATAAATTATGCGTAAGAATGCACTTCATTGACGGGATATATAATCTTTCGAAAACAATCAGTGCATTACAGAGGTATGATATGATCGGTTCGTTATTTTCTATTATCGTATTAAATCTCATCCACATCTTCGTATCATCGCGAATATCGTCATTAATCTATATAGTTTTATTCATGCATCCGTATCGGTCCAAACTCCAGATGCTTCCATTTGCAAATCGATAGCAGTGGAATGAAGCGATAACGAGTCTTTTAAGTCATTAATCTCTTGTAACATCAGTCTGTTATTTTCTTCTAAACGGCATATCGTTTGTTTATACAACATTACTTCTTTTTCATGATCAGTCTGTACCTTTTGTATTACTTTGTCTTTAGGTACATATGTACCTACATGAAAATACAAAGAAAAGGATTGAAAAGCATTAATTAATAATAATTATAGAGTAAGTAATAATAAATTTTGAAACTATATGAACCAGTAGATTTCTGTAACTGTTCCCGTAGTTTATTACCGCTCTGTATGATCCTTCTTAATTCGTGTTCGTGTTGACTGTCCTTCGATAACGATTGCTTCTTTAACTTGGTTACCTACAGTTTAAGACTAACTTGTTAGATATTCTACATTTGATATTAAAAATAAATCATATATAACTTATAGTTGGTCACCTCATTTTTTTCTTGTTTTAAATCACGTAAAATGGCATCATTTTGTACTTTGAGTCTTCTTTCCTTTTCCCGTATTTGTGCTAACATGGTATGTCCTTTCTGCAATTCTTCTTTGAGTCGTTTAACATGATTCTATATTTAAAACGAATCTATTAATTGTTACACGAACGATTAATTATTATAAAATTATCATAAATATTACTTACTGTTCGAGGTATATCCCTATGCAGCATGTAATTATATGTAATATGAATAAAAATCTTATAACTTTGATAATCTTACCTTCAAATTATTATTGTCATTTGAAATCTTTGCATAAGTATCATTTAGTTCATCGTGGGACTTCATTAACATCCTATGTTTATGTATTAACTTCCATAATGAATTTATTAATGTCATAGAAATTTCCTTTAGCGATTCTATTGATTCAATTCCACTGTTATCTACATTCACTGGTGAAATATTAAAAGATTCTAACTCCTATAAATAGATATCATTGAATGAACATTATATGTAATTAAATTTCTTCTTTTATCTTACCTCTGCCAAAATAGATAAAGATTCTTCTAGATTATTTGTAGTGCAAAAGCTTTTTTCTTGATTACCCAAATGTCGTTTCATAGCCAGAGCTGCTTTAAAATTTCTTACGGAAGAAAGATTTTGGAATTCTGTCGACATACTTTCTCTGATCTTTATACGATCTATCTGTGAAAATTATAATCCAAATTTAATAAGATTTAAATATATTCGATATAGATCTCATTAAACTATATGAGATCAACATACCTCTTATAAATATTTCTGCGATGTTAATATTATAAACACTATGATATAGATAATATAAAATCGCTAATAATCATCGACAACGGAGAAATAAATAAGTATTCTGATGAAACGACGTCCGGACATGTAAGAACATATAACCGAAAAGATAGGACGAAAATAAACACGAGTATCTAAGTTTAAAACCGTTCATTATCTTTTGCTCGAAGCGTGTGTGACTAAAGCGACAGGTATGGACAAAATATGAACTACAGGCATAATCGAGGAAAACATTGTCGTCAATAATTTATATGTGGATCTATCGTATCAAAAGTTTCAATAGACAATATAAATTTCCCGCTTAACCTAACAATCGAATTATAGAAATGGCGTTAAGATTATTCACTACCCATTCTTCTATTATGGTTAACACCATCAATAAGTAGAGAAATAATTCTTGAATGATTTTCGATAAACAAAGTCTCGTTTTAAGGACGAAGATTTAATCTAGGACATATCTTTTTCGAATCTTTGACAAAGTTTTATTTTCTTTGAAAAAATTCATCTAAAGGAATGATATTCTTCCACAATAGTTTATGTACAAATGAAACGCTTTTTCGAAAAAAGATATGTTCTAGATGTAACCTTGGTCTTTAAAATGAGAATTTGTCTATTAAAATTGATTAACAATAATGCTTGTTTTCATTGTTGAAATAAATACTACCGTTTTCGATAATTATTCGCTTAGAAAAAGTTTTGATCTGTGGCGCCTCTCGAAATTTACGGCGAAAGAGAAGAAGTTCATAACTTCCCCCCCCCCCCCCCCCCCGCCCCACTATTGATTTTCATATACACGCTTGAATGATGTATTACGCCGTGAAGTAGCGATGGTCTACTTATCTCTGCTATTTTTGCGTGCATAAATAGCTGATCTTAAGATTTTCTGAACATTTCCAAACGCAAAGAAGAAATATACGTTTTCACAAATGTTCGCACGAAGAAGCTACGATAACCCGGTCACTCTTTCGACAGATAATTCTGTGGCAAAAATGTGCTTTTTCTTAATTTTGATAATTATCGGAGTTAGTTTTTTTTTTTTTTTTTTGTTTTACTACAATGCTTGAAGGTCGAAACTTTTCCTTTATAAATGTGAAAACTTATTAAATTAATACTTTCGATAATTTTATAATCAAACATTCTTTAACAAAACTTTTTAATTAATTTGCCTTTAGAGACGTATAATCTGATCATATGATTGTTTTTTTTACTTCTGTCACATGTACCACTATTTTTACTACGTAGAAAAATTTCTATTACATATTAACTCGATTGTTAGATTGTACGAGAGAAGTAGTATGATAATGCGAAAAACTTATACACGATGCTATAGAGGTGCATAGTGGCTTTAGTATTACCCCATTGCACTTATAGTTCATATTTTGTCCACAAGTGTCGCTGAAGTTACATGCGCTACAAACGGATGGTAACTAATAACCTTTTTTGCAAAATAATTTCCAACAATGCCACATGGTGGCTCTAGGGTGTTTGTTTCGTATGACCTTCTTGAAACGCGTTTTGTAACAATAAAAATTGTTCTTCTCGAACATCTTTCGTAAGATTAAATCGATTTTTCGTTCGTATTAAAAATGAAAAAAATGAAATTTATTTTCTTACGCTATTTTCTATGTACAAACACGAACCTTATTCATAACAAATCAGAATATTTAGAAGGTAAAAACAAATTATTTTATACTTTCTTTGTCCATAGGATTAAAAGATAAATCGTATCAAAGTCTTTATCAAAGATTGATTTTATAACATATTAACAATTAAATTTTACAATATATATATATATATACAGACACATGCATACATCTCGTTGGTTTTAAAAATGGAAAAAGCGTTCTAACGACGAACCTGAAATACATCGGATTAGTAAGTACCAAAGCAATTAAACGTTATATAGGATTCTTATATTTCTAATATCTATTTGATTTACTGTACGAGGAGTACAGTAGAATATAAAAATAGTAAAAAAAGCTTTGTGAAAGCACTTTTTCTCTTAGCTGCGGCAGGAACACTAATCCGGCGTACGTGATCTTTAAAAGCATCGGGGATTAGTGAGATAAATCTCCAAGCTAGTGTGCACTGGACACAGGATCTTCCCTATAGAAACCTTTTCTAGAAATTACGTCTCTCTCTCTCTCTCTCTCTCTCTCTCCTCTTTAATATTTCATATTCTTTTAAACGACGTTCGATTTGAAAAGCATTAGTCATCGAAGCAAATAAGAAAAAAGATATAATATATTAACGACGAGAGAAACAAATGTATTTTTCTATTTAGCCCTACTCGTCGTATAGAACAAATTAACGATAAGAAATTTCTCTCAATCTGTTTATCTCGAAAAATGTAACATCATTCCTAAAGCCGAGTAAGTACTGTATCCCCATGTATTTTGTTAGGTCAACGTTGTCATCTCGGCTTACCAAGAGAAGGAGGAAGAAGACCGAGGTAACACGAGTAGCTCAATATTTGACACACGTCAAACGGTTAAGAGAGTTAGGAACTTTGGTTGTTAGGTGGAACGTATGTACGTACGGACACGCATACATCGATTACGCAACAAGACACATGTCACGTCACACGTGTATCAAAGACCAGACAAAATTCTTCGCTTCACCGAACTAGATTTTTTTTTTGGGACCGTTTCTTTCCAAAGGATTTTTCTTCTACTCGAATATCCGAAAAGATCTCCTCTCTCTCTCTCTCTCTCTCTCTCTCTAAGTTTTTGTACTAATCTTGAATTTTAAGCTAAGCTAGCTTTTTTGTTTTATTTATTTTTAAGATATTCTATTTTCAGAAATAATATCTATCTATAGATATAATTATTTTGTGATTTGCTCTCGAATGAAATCGTTTTTGATAAATTCAATGTTAAAGTGGATATTGAAGTTGACGATAACTTATTATGGTCTCACCCTATATGTATTACGAATGCACGCAATTTTAAGATCGTAGAATCCGACGGACTCTGAAGACATTCGCCTGACAAAGTTGTGGAGAGTCAAACTCCCGAGAATTTTGACGGGTCAGTAACACCAAAAACATTTATGTCCTCCCATCCGCTATTCTTACCCGGCGAACACAGTTATTTTTGGCTAATGTTAGGTACCCCCCTACCCTTCCCTTGTACACGTTTCATTGCTTTTCTCCTAATTATACCAATTCAGGGAGGACCTAAAAATATGACCTCGAAAATTAGCAATGGCGAGACCGAACGTTTTTCTCTTTCTCTGTCTTTTCTTCGAAAGGAGAACGGGGTACTACATCCACGTAATCTATATTGGCCTATACGAAATAATATTACGTATAGTACGTTTTTCTAGGTTCACATGGGGGAATAAGAAATGGACACCGCTTAGTTTAGACTAATGTAGTTGATTTGTGGGATAACAGAAGATTACCGTCACCGTGGGTGGTAATGAGTGCACTTGTTACCGAAGAAGGGTCCTTTTACTGTCGGATGGCAAATGAAGTTTTTGGTGGGTCCGTAGGATAGTCCAGGGGGCCGACAGATGTTCCTCTCTTAAGTCAGTCTACCTCGTTCACGGGCCATTTACTTCGATATGTATCTCGATGGTAACTTTCTAACGACGGTAGATCATTGGTAAAGCATACAAATTAAATCCTTTAATAATTTTCAATAGATAATCATTATATAATTCTAATAAATGTCGTAATCTATAATATCTAACGAATGACGTAATGTGCAATCCTTTTCTTTTTTATGGTGTTAATCTTTTCTCTTTTTTTCTTTTTTTTTTTTTTTTTTTTTTTTTTACTATTAAAACTGTACGCTTCTTCCAAGGCGTTGCTTTTACGACACACATAACATTATCGTAAAGAATTAAAAGTCTCGATTTAGACGAGTCGACGAAATTCCCGACGAAGTGAAAAGCATAAAGTTGAAGGCGGCTTTAAATTTTTCTGAGAGCAGAGACTAGTCTTTAGTCCGGAGCTCACGTCGTCTATCGAACATAATCGAAGCAATATTTCAGAGCAGTAATGTTATGACACAAGGAACGTTTTTATGCGTTTCCTTTCGAGAAGGCAACCGTCTCTCCCCTTGAATACCCGAAACGAGTCCCTAAAACACCCACGTCTTTAACTTGATGCTTCACTTATCCGGTTCCTTCCTATATAGTCTACCAAAAATACTGGGAATTAA